TATAACATAAAAGTCCATAAGACACAACCTTACCTTCAAATATATATTCTAAACCAGAACACCGGTACTCTTCTGGCATTTTTCTGTAAAAAATCCACATTTAATCAAGAAAATTTTGTGCTGAAACCTGAAGTACAAAATCTCAACAAACAATTGAAGAAAAGAGCGGGAAAATAATTATCCCGGTCGGGAAATTGAACTCTTGTTGATTACTGGATGCTAATTGGACAGATTCCTAACTAACTACCGGGGAAATATTCCCCGGCACTTTGCGTCTTCTTGGCAAATGTAAACAACTAAACGATTTGTAGATTTCATATATTTTGTGATATGTCCGTGTACGGCGAAATATGCAGCAAGTTGGACAAAAAATCACATGCACTGCGAGAGACATAATTTTAATCTCTCTGGAAGTAAGTACTCTTGATATAATACGATCTTTTGATAATGGGCCCTATTGACTGCCCATTGTAAGCTTTTTTATACAATTATACTTTCATGTTTACTATCTGGCTTTTATATTGTTGCAATCGTACTGTGCTACCTGCAACTTTTGTAAAAACTGCACTGTGCAGTGCCTTACTGTAATGTGTAGTGCATCCTATATGTCTATATTGACTGGTTAGTTGCATACTTTCAATATTGTGTTCGCCAACATACTGCAGTACTGATTGGTGCACTGGTGTACTCACTCCATAGAAATAATAGACATAGAATACGTGCTAATGACGAATCATGTCTCCACTTTTTCAGGTGCGTGCCCTTTTGAATGCGCCATTTTGAATTTTGGCCAGGAGTGTAAACTACAAAGTATAAGCAAAGCTAAAACTACGTTTTCATCGTCAAAACGTTTTGTCTTGTTGTCTAATTTGTAGTTTGGGGATAGATTTTGAGTTCCTTGAAGGCACAAACTGTCAAAGCAAATGCAGTGCAGTTACAAAACACTATGAAAACAGTGAAAATCGTGCAGCCTTTTAAAAGCAAAGTAGTTTCGCGAAAATATAATTTACTCAAATTTGCCTGCTCTAAACGTAACTGTTTTGCTAATATCTTATAAGATTACAAAATGATAGTTCTTTCTTCGTCGGGTTTCGTTTTCCTGCAATGTAAACGAAGTGTTTTCATCATGAAACATTTTATAGTTGTCGATAAACTGTAAAATTGCCTAAAAATAATCGTCGAAAACCATGGTTTCAAAAGCGTTGCCTCAAGCTCAAGCAACGTAGAAAAATATGAAATATATAATTGTGTAAGTTTAAAAAGATTATTGAACTCCATTTATATTGTAAAAGAGTTGAAATATTTGTAGAACATACCTATTGAGTTTGTCTTGATCTTTTGTGTTTTGTTTTGACTTGCACAACAACATAACGTTGAAAATTTATTTTTAAACGACGATTTCTGCATATATTCTGTTCAGAACTATTGCTTTTCGTAAAAAACCACTGGAATG